TTTGTTTTAATTTTTAATTTATTCCCATTTTTCTCATTTCCAATGTGGGGTTAATTAACCCTGGGAGGCTTAATTAGGTTCAGGATGGTCTTAATTAATCCTTAGAGATGTTAATTAATTAATACAGTGTTAATTAACAGCATTAATTAACTCCCAATTTCCTGTTTTGCCTCCTTTTCTCCTTTTTTATTCTTTTATTTTTTATTYCYATYTGGRATTAATCAACTCAGGGTGGGATTAATTAATTCAGGGTGGCTTAATTAACCTCATGAGGGTCTTAATTAACTTTCTGTAATGCTGATTAATTAATGAGGCATTAATTAATATAATTAATTATCCTTTTAATGCTTTATTTTCATTCTTTTTGCTGTTAGGCTGGGATTAGTTTATCCTTTAATTAATTATGAATTAATTATGAATTAATTATGAATTAATTATGAATTAATTAAAAATTAATTATAATTTAATTATGAATTAATTATAAAATAATTATAAATTAATTATAAATTAATTATAAATTATTTGTTCCTAAGGCTATATTGTTATAACTATTAGGCTAAGCCTATTAATTAATACCATTTGTATTTTAATTAATATCATAATTAATATTATAATTAGTGTTTTAATTATTATTATAATGCTATAATTAATATTTTTATTATTCTGGTTATGATTGTTTTCATAATTATTATTATAATTATAATTATTCCCATTAATTTCTAATTAATTCTCTATCTTTCTAATATATTAAATTAGGCATCAATTAATTTTCTAATTAATTAATTACCCATTAATTATTCCAATTAACGAACTTTCCCCTGTAAAACTCCCCAAAAACGGCCCCAAAATCTTCATTTTTTTGGCAATTAACGCCCTTTAACCCCAATTAATCAGCGCAGGGGGGTCATTAAGGCTCTGTGGGGGATGATTAATGATGGGAGGTGTTAATTAATGTTGTTAATTAGGTTAATTAGCGATGGCTGAGGACATGAAGAGCAAACTGGGCCGGTACAAAACGGCACCGTTCGACAGCCGCTTCCCCAACCAGAACCAGACCCGCAACTGCTGGCAGAACTACCTGGGTAAAGCATGAAAAAAACCCAAAAACAGCCCAAAATACCCCAAAAATCAGCTGGGAACCCCAAAATTATAAAAACAACCCCAGAATCTGCAAATTTAAAAAAAAACCCCAAAATTTGGAGTGGTTTTTACCCAGAATTGACTGGGGTAGACCTGGTGTCCCAATACCTGGGTAAAACCCCAAAAATACCCCCAAAACAGCCCAAAATACCCCAAAAACAGCCCAAAATACCCCAAAAATGATCTGGGGAGGTTGGAAAACCCCAAAATTGAAAAAAGGACCAAAAAAGCCCCCCAAAATTTCAAAAAAAACCCCAAAATTTCTGATAAAATCCCAAAATTTTCAGTGATTTTCAACCAAAATTGACTGAGGTAGACCAGGGTAAAACCCCGAAAATACCCCAAAATACCCCAAAAATCATGTGGGAACCCCAAAAAATGATTTGGGCACCCCAAAAAACCCCAAAATTAAAAAAAAAACCCAAAAGTTTCTGATAAAATTCCAAAATTTTGTGGGGTTTTCACCCAGAATTGACAGGGGTAAACCTGGTGTCCCAATACCTGGGTAAAACCCCAAAAAATCCCCAAAAGCACCCCAAAAACACCCCAAAATGCCCCAAAAATAATCTGGGAACCCCAAAAACCCCAAAATTGAAAAAAGGACCAAAAAAATTCCCAAAATTAAAAAAAAAATCCACAAAAAAATGCCAAATTTGGACAAT